GTTTAAAGCTGCACTTACAGTGCATGTGTCAATAAGTCAGGGGATTCAATTACCCCATTGTGCATTTTTTAAACAGCACAAAAGTGGAAACACAGATAGTATCGTATCGTATCGGTGTGTATCAACACATACAATGTGATATAGGCCAATACGATTGTGTATCGCTTCTAGCATGATTCAGGGGATACATGTTAAGTTGTAGTGTTTCTCGTATCCCCCTTACCTGATACCAATACGATATGTCCCGTATCGGGCATATCGGGCGTATTGTGTCGATATTTAAATCCTTGGGTATGGGTAGGGTATAGTATTAAGCTAAACTCGTCCTTCCCCGACCCACATTATGTGGGAAAGCATATAAACTTTATGTATTAGGTGTTGAGTTTGAAAATATTTTGAATTTTATGTGAAGGGTAATTGATAGATTATGTGTTTTTACATGTTTTAATCGAATAATTAGAATTTACAAAACCTTCCCTATTGCCATCCCTAGGGTAGCATAGCATGAAGTTGTTATGCTATGCTACCCTAGGGATTTGTTTTTTTTTTTTTAACATTTCTTCATCTATGAACAAATTTGGACCATTAACAAATTTAGGCACCACCTAACGATAAACAGATCAGATGGTGTTTAACAGATTTAGATAACATTTGGAAATAAACAGATCGAATGGTGTTTAACAGAGTTAGACACCCTCTGGCATTAAATAAACCACATAAGATTTTCAATTATTAGATAGTAGAAAACATTGATCAACCAGGTGATCTCGTAGTATTAGCACCCTCAAATACATTTAAAACCAATAAACCACAAAATTGTATATGATTCTCATAGGTGCCTAGACCATCCAGTATATAGTAGACCGGATGATGTTTAACAGATTTAGGCAAAACACATACCAGATGGTGTTTTGCAGACTTAGAAACCATCCGACATTACACATGCCAGATGACTGCTTACAATTTTGAATCATCAATTATAGTTACAATCATCTATTATGTAGGTGATCTAACACACTCAAATTCCTTTAAAATCCAACAAGCCACATGGTTGTATATGAGAATCATAGATACACAGATCATTCGGTATGGAGAAGATCGGATGGTGTACTATAGACTTACAAACCATTCAGCATTACACAATCCGGATGATTGCTTGCAATTTTGAGTCATCAATTATAGTTGCAATTATAGTCATTAATTCATATAAAACCTACAAAACTAGAAAGTTGTATATGATTTTTATAAGTGTACAGACCATACGATATAGTGAAGATTGGATGGTGTTTTATAGACTTAGAAACCATCCAGTATTAAACAGATCAAATGATTGCTTGCAATTTTGAAACATCAACTATAGTTGCAGGAATCTATCCCCAAATGATCTAGCTGTAGTTACACCATCAAATGCATCTAGAACCCAATAAACTACTTGGTTCTATATAATTTTCATATGTGTATAGACCATTTAGTATAGGTAACCCAGAAGGTGTTTTACAGACTTAGAAACCTTCTGGCATTGAACAAACTGTATGGTTTTTAGCATACTTTCCCCAAATAGGTGTTAATAGTATAAATCATTTGGTAAAATTGAAAATACATATACAAAGGTTGGAATAGATATATGATAAGTACAATCCATATTAAATTCGAAAAACAAAATGTTGCTTAGAATGCCAAGCATTTGTAAAATCAGTTACATTTGTTTATATTTAGAACCAAAATAGAATTAATTGATGACAAAAATAGGAGTCCATTGTGTTTCCCTTTTGGATCTACTTCTGAGCCCATAGCCTCTTTTGTATGTCTTGATTTGAGATTGGGGTAGAGAATCTTCCACTGGTGTCACTTCATCAATTGAAGGTGAATTAACAAGATCAACAATACGATTACAAACTTTTTTCCTCTTTTGTCTTGCATGTATTAGGTTATTCGGTGAAGGCTCAACTTCATTACATGCTTCATTGTTAGTTGTGGGTACACCTGCCAATGAAGCAATAACATCCATTGCTTCGCTAACATCTTGCATGTGCTCGTTGTCTAAATTTGCAAGCGGGAGTAGTGTAGAGAGAAGACACTTCAATGTCTCTTGTTGAAACAAAATACAATAAATGTCAATTCAATATTTAAGAAAATAAAGGTCCAAATTACTAAGTAAGTTACTAAGTTAAAGTAACATAAAATTTTATTCTATAACCATGCCATGTATGATAGATAGTCAGCTGTCAATGCCCGTTGGCATAAGTTTCCGTGACAATCCACCAATAAACATTTATGGTGGTGGTTTTATAGACCTAGGCTGACAGTTTATGATCATTGACATAAAGTTTCTTTAATGAAGAAAATGAGCAAGGTGGGACATGATTATTTTTCATGCTGCAACTACCTCAATGTTTGTGTTATGGACTGATTTTTCATTTTGAAAAGATTGAGGCCCATAGCAAGACTTTAAAATTGAGGCTTAGAGCAGCAAATCAAACATGGCCTAGGTCGCCTTCGAGCTATGGTGAGAAATCACCATGATAGAGGAAACAAATTGTAGATAAGTTAGAAGTTTTTGATAAAAGGGATGATTCCCTTTATCGATTTTTTATCATTTATATATGTGACCATTAGGTCGGTTCAATGGATGTGACAACTAATCATGACATAATCATTGCAATGATTACAATCCTAATAGCTCTCTTGGAACCCGGATTTCCTACACTTGCTTTGGTGTAGGACGTGGTGCACTTCCAATCAGATTCAACCACGTCACACATCACATGCCTCCCCATCTCACATGTGCGGATTAAGTTAAATGGTAAGTTTGGGGTGTTATGTCTCCAAAATTCATTTTTTGATACTTAAAAAAAAGTGAAAAAAAGGAAATTTGACTATCGACTAACAAAACAAATAGGAAACTCAAGCCAAGGGCTTGCTCTCCAAACCCTAAATGTACAGATGCTATTAACAAGCGACTTACAAGAACAGGTCATTCTTTGGTCAAGGGGCAGAAATCGTTTTGCAAGATTCTTCACTATTTCGTTTTCTTCTTCTTTTGGTGCCATTAATAAGAGATTTGCAAACTTCTCTTTCTTCTTCGGGCTTCAGCCAAAGGCCAAGGCCATTTACAAGAAATCGTTCGATTTCATCTATATTTCTTCTTTTTCTTCTTCTCACTTGAGGACGTTGCTTTTTCCAAGAGTATTCTACAACATTAAGCAGGGTGACTAAGACAGGTACAAAGGAAACCACATCTATACCCCCCGTGTATTTAAGTGAATTAGATATGGTTATGATTCCTTAAGAAGTTGGATTTATAAAATTTCAGGCGCCTTTTTTTTTGTTTCCATATTATAAATATATTTGAATGCCAAGAAATTTCATGAAGAGAGGTTTAATTAAAAACTTTATAAAGTAGGAAACATTTGATTATAGAGTAATTAGTGTTTGTTCTTGGTGCTCTTTTGTTACAGAGTAATCTCAACTTCAATATTACTGGGTAGCTATATCAATTTAGGAATTTTCCTTTAATTTGTTCTTGGTGCTCTTCTATTATTGGGGCTAAAATGCGAGAAAACAACAAGTTAGTTTCTCTCTGTTTGAGATGATTAAAACTTTTAAAAGGACTTTTGTGGGAAGAAACTATAAGATGTCTTTGCAAAATTCACACCCTTGCAAAACAATTTCCATCCCTTAGATCTATTTGCAAAACAATTTCCTACAATCTCTTGTTAATGGCGCCCAAAGAAGAAGAAAACAAAACAGTGAAGAAGAAATCCTGATTCCTACAAAATGATTTATGCCTCTTGACCGAAGACCAATATGTTCCTAATCGCTTGTTAATGGCGTCTTCTTTGGGTTGAGTTTCCTGTTTGTTTTGTTTATCCTCTCCCATCTATCAATTGAATAGTTAAATCTTTTTTTTTCACTTTTTCCTTTTTTCTTAAATTTCCAAAAATGAATTTTTGGAGACAATGCCCCAAACTTGGGGTTTAACTTAATCCACACATGTGAGATGAGGAGACATGTAGAGTGTGACATGAAGTGCACAATGTCGTGCAGGAAATCTGGGTTCTACCAAAAAATGCAAGATATTATATATACAATAATTTCTGAACCAGGCTGGGCTAGAAAAACCTAAGGCTTGCTTGGCCTGTGCGGGCTTGATGCAGGTCTGGTTCGGGCCAGGCTTGACAGAAAATGGCTGCCCAAGCCTAGAAATTTGCCAGTCCGGCAAGGCAGGCCGGGCCAGGGCATATCATAAATGATCATCCCTATGGACGAGCCATATTAACTAGAATACCCAAGAGCTGAGCACTTCACCCAATCAGACCATTCTAGAACTACCTAGAGGCTAAAGCAGGTCAGTGGACTAGGGACCTAAATTGCACTTCTAAGCAAGGCTTGAATCAAGGTTCAAAGTATCGATACTGGCCAATGCATCGGTAGGGCGTATCGGCCTGCATCGATCCTTTTTTTTTACTTTTACTTTTTTTTTTTATTTTGGTTCAGAGGGACCGGTTTAAGTCCCGGCTACCCTCTGAACCAGGCCCTGACCCGATACAACCCCTGTAGGGGCATATCGGGAAGGGCCCAATACAATACGTATTGGCCGATATGGGCCAATACGTAACGATTTTTTGAACCTTGGCTTGAAGCATCACAATGTATCGATGCATGTATGTATTGGTTTTTGAACCCATCCATGCCCTAAATACCAGAAGTTGTCATATGGCGACTTATGAAGTTTAATACACTTCCTAGAGATATCTGGAGATTCTGGACCAATTCTTGAAACTAAAAAAGAAAAAAAAAATCTGCATTGCCCCTTTGAATTGCACATTGCGCATATGATATACTTCGGACCTTACTTCTAGTTGGTTTTTTACTAACGATCTAGTTCATGAATTGTCTGATCTTAACATGGGTACAAAACAAAACGGAACTATAGAATAGCTTTCAAGAAACCATCCATGCCCTAATTTGGAACATAGAACCATATACAAAAACAAATAGAATAGAAAAGTAACAATAATTTTATTCCATATATAAAAACATAACAATTGTGAGGACAAAACGATGTGTAGCTGTAGAATCTCCTTATTACAATTCCACCCAAAAAACAATTTTTATTCTAGAGATTCCAAGCAACTCCCTTCTGATACTGCATGAGTTGCATAAACAAAATACTTCCTAAATTAAGAGCTTCTAACAGTAAATAATCGACCAGCTAATTATTCCTCAATAATCCGCATGGTCATCAGTATCCTGATGCCCCCTTTGACATATGTGACACCTTAAATTTTCTAATACACCATGGCATTACCTATTAAGCCTGCAAAAAGCTTGCGTACTTTGCACCGAGGAAAAGCCTCTGAATACAGAGAAGAGCATTCTTTGTTACCTCTGAATTCTCATGATTCATCAACTTCATCACCCGCTCTTTGGCCTTAAGATCAGTCACTATGATCCGCCCAGCTGAATGGTACTGAATGAACTGTGAGAGATCATAACATGCAACTGCCAGTGCCCTTGGGTCATTGGATGTGTCAAGGATTGTGATGAGAACTCGGAGAATCTGTGAAGCACAAGAACAATAAGAGGCGGCCCAAGATATGTGAAATAGGAAACCAACCGCTTAAGTATTATACTATCAGGGTACATGGCATACATATAGGGATCAGGAACCCCGTACTCTAACCCCTCCAAAGTACCCAAAAGATGCAACCATACATGTACGTGGAATGAGTGTAAAGTGATAACTATGTTTTCAAGCCATGTTACACAGACATTGCAAGGGCATGGCATGGGCAAGGTACACGAAATTTACAATAAAAATTGCACTCAACACATTCCATACACATTTTGAAGTATGAGTGCAACATAGGTCCTCAAGTACTGGGATATCAACCTTCGAAACATCCAAACATGGACAGTTCTTACCATCATTGTCATCAGCAGATGTTACCCCCACCATTTCTAGTTGGCAACAAAAATATACTAGACAACTCCAGTCTTATCTACAGAATCTTCCAAAAGAAAGAAGTGGTTTCATTGAAAAATTGTGTAGAAATTATATGTAACAATTCATCATCATCATCCAAGCCTTATCCCAACTACATGGGGTCGACTACATGAATCCTGTTTTGCCATTCCACTCTATTTAATTCCATATCCATTGTTAAATTATGAGCACTTAAGTCATTTCCAACTACTTCAACCCAAGTCCTTTTTGGTCTACCCCTAGCCCCTTCAACTTGCAACAACATAATGACTGAAAGAAACAAAATAATGATGTCTTACAAAAATATCCTTCACAAAGACAATTTTATTATAATTCTTTCAATGCCTGAAAGAGATAAAATAAGATATCTTGAATAAACAATATTTTTTGATCCTTCAACAATGATTTTAAAATCAAACAAGACTTTGAACCACTACATCTGGTGTTTCATGGGCCAACGCCATATTTTGTCAGCAGGGAGCCATCAAAGTAGAATTCTGAAATTCAGAAATATGGTTAAGAATGATAACTTCAGTCAGATCTTGAGAATCTTACCTACTAAGAGAGAGAAAGGAGTTTTAAATCTTGAGACCTAGGTTTTTCTTTGTGGATATTGGTACAAAACCTTTGTCTATCTAAATCTTAGCTCCTGGTTTTGAGGAAAGGAAACAAATGCCATAGATTCAAAAATACTTGTGAAGTGGAAAAGCACATAAGCCCCCTCTCTGGGCTATTGCCCCAGTCAACAAGATGACTCAAGCTCTCATCATGGCCACCATATCTTCACACAAGGAGTTTTCGTCTATGTTCAGGAAGCATCTTAACATGCCTTAAGCTTAGAACCAAGAACCAACTTAGCTTACCCATTTCAAAGAAATCCTTCAGTCAAAAACTTGAAGATGTGTGTACTTGAAAGATAGCTATATTTGTTTTTCTTGGACAGCTTAATCTAAGGCCCGTTCGCTTTTTGGTAAGTTACTTACCCGGGTAAATGCTATTACCTGGGTAAGTTTTTCCTGGGAAACACTTACCCGGGTAAGTGCATTTACCCATGGTCTTTTATTTCTCAGGTAAATAAGGTACTGACCATTTTAGTCATAAAAATCCATTATTAAAATGGGCCTTTTTGTCCCATTCAAATGTTAGCAACTTTCTTCCTAGGTGGGAAAGTTATTTACCCACCCAGAAAAATAAACTTTCCCTGGTCCCCACATTAATCTGAAAAATGAACATGAGATTCTTGGTCAATAGGAACCAAAATCCCATTGACCAACTTTCCCGACTCTCAAAATCCAAAAAAAGAGCGCCCCCTAAAAGAGAACCTTGGAAAAGAAGACGAGTGATTTAGAAAAAGAAATGCAAATGAGGGTGAAGAAGACCACCTGAAAATCATTCTCTTCAAAGTTTGTCATATTTTCACGCCAAAACCATGGATCTTTGTGCATGGGTGACCAGTCAAGGTGTCCAAGAAGGACTTCTTGCTTGTATTTATCAAAAGAACTCAATTTTTTAATATTGTCCTTCAGCCCCTCTTCCAGATGATTCAGAGCCTCCAACAGGTCCTGCAAAGAATTCCAAACATTAAACAAATACCAAGAAAAAATGTAACCACATGAAATTTTAACCAGGTATTGCACCAGTCATTCCAGTTGCAGAGTTTCAGGAGCTATATTAGTCAAGGTTTAAAATGTTGATATCGGTGGAAATGTCAGTCATCCAAATATAAGAAACATGTTGGAAATATCGTATGAAAATATTGTAAAAATTATAGACATGGTGGAAACATTTTAAAATATGCAAAATATAGAAAGATATTTTATGAAATGATAAAAGAAGCATAGACATACCTTTTTAAATTACTATCTTGTTGCAAATCATTAAACAAAGCTAAGAAACTAAGGTTATAGACAAAAGAATATGTTCTGAAGTTGCCCCATAAACTTTAAGATTCAGAGCTTCATGATAAAATGAGTTAAAGCAAAATTTTAACTCATAGAAAATGTAAATGATTGTAATAGATCAACCAAATAATCTATTACACAAACAAAAAACTAATATTTAACTTCATGTTTGAAATGAATATTGATTTAGCTCAAAGTGGTAGTAATCATGTAAGTTAGGCAGACAATAAAATTGTTACTTAACATATTTACAATATTGTACCAACTTATGTTATAATACTATCTCTTGGACTCCACATAATACTAGTAGTGTTCACTGGGAAATATGTTGATTCCAGTAAAATTTCATGTCGCTACCCATGGAAGTGGAAATGGAAATATGTTGTGGAACCTATTTGTTGTACTCCACATAGTGCTAGTAGTGTTCATTGGGGAAATGTCGATTCCGGTAAAATTTCGTGTTTCTACCATAGAAATGGAAATATGTCGTGGAAATATTAGGGAAATTAGAGACATTTTAAACCATGATATTAGTTCAATCATAGTAAGATTTGTATAAATATGGTGCAACATCATTGAATTGGAAAAACAACCCTACAAAAGAGATATTACACCATACAAATTTCCAGGAGAAGCAAGCAAGAAGACAAGTTACATTAGAAAGTCAAACAAATATACACAATGATCTAACAAGAAAATCTAAATCCTGATTTCTTTAAGGGTACATATAGATGGCATTGCTCTTCAATTCAAGCATTGAATTGATGCTGAAACCAATTGCAGCCTCAACTTCAGCAAACCGGAAGGTAATAAAGGGCTGGGAACCCCCAGAGGTAGGATTCCTGAAATTAAAATTTGATGGAAGTAGTTTTGGGAATCTGGGGCCTTCTGGAATTGGAGGGATTTTAAGAAATGAAAGTGGAGTGATCATGGGAATGTACTCATGCCCCATTGGTGTGGGTGACTCTGAAACAGCAGAACTGAAGGCAGTAATTTATGGGATGCAGAAATGTATGGAAATGGGGATTCGAAAGATAATAGTTGAAGGCGATTCCAAAATAGTAATAAGTTGGTTAAAACAGAATGAGAAGGTTCCTTGGTTTTTCAGAAACAAAATCAAACAGTTCAAGAGGTTCTCAAGGGATATGCAGCTGATATTTCAATGGACTCCTAGATCGGCAAATGGCCTAGCTGACCAACTAGCAAAGCAAGGGGGTAAATAGGGCCGAATGCTTCTGGGCTCAGTTCTAAGACTGATCTTCATTTTGTCTTTGTATTCTATTGATGGTAGCCGAGGCTGCCCTTGTTTCTGAAATCTCTTCTTTCTCTAAGTAATAAAATAGGATGTTGATTACTGATAAATATATATATATATATATATATATATATATTTCTTTGAAATTTACCTGAAATTTCCCAAGTTTTTGGAATACTAAAGACTTGAGGATTGACTAAAAGCAAAACAACCATGCAACCCAGATTAACTTTGGCCTACAACAAGGATTGGAAGGAGTGGATCGGCAACTTTGGTGGTGTAGGTGTTCAAGACTGCTATCAGTCTTGATCACTAAGAAACTTTAGGTTCGATGAGAAGAGAAAGTGAAGAAGAAGTAGAAGAAAGAGTGGTGAGAGAGCAGTAGAACAAAGGTTTTGAGGAGAAGAACAGAATCACAATATTCTGCCGCCACCACTTTAATTTAATATTTATATGTTATGCTAGTTACATGAAAGGACATATCTGCCCTTGGTGTTTACATCATAACT